GGTTAAGTCTGCAATAGCACAGGCAACAGAAACAAAAATAGAAAAATGGGACTGTATCAAACTAAAAAGCTTCTGCACAACAAAGGAAACAATCAAAATGAAGAGACAAGAGACAGCCCACAGAATGGGAGAAAATATTTGCAAACTATTTATCTAACAAGGGACTGATATCTAAAATATACAAGGAATTCAAACAACTCAACAGCAAAAAAAAAAAAAAAAAGAAGAAGAAACCAAATAATCTCATTTAAAAATGGGCAAAGGACCTTAATAGACATTTCTCAAAAGAAGATATAAAAATGTCCAACAAATAAATGAAAACATGTTCAACATCATTAATCATCAGGGAAATGCAGATCAAAACCACAGTGTGATATCATCCCACCCCAATTAGAATGGCTGTCATCACAAAGACAAGAAATAACAGATGCTGTTGAAGGTACAAGGAAAAAGGAGCTCTTACACACTATTGGTAGGAATGTAAATTAGGATAGCCACTATGGAAACAGTAAGGAGTTTTCTCAGAAAACTAAAAATGGATCTACTGTACAACCTAGCAGATGCCACTAGTGCGTTATTTCTCCACAGGAAAGGAAATCAGAATATCAAAGCAAAACCTGCACCCCCATGTTTACTGCAGCTGTGTTCACAATAGCAACAATATGGAATCTGTCTAAATATCTGTCAACAGATGAATGGATAAAGAAAATGTAAAATGTGGAGTATATGGAGTACTATTCAGCCATAAAAAGAATGAAATCCTGTCACAGCAACATGGATGAGCCTGGAGGATATTATGTTGAGTGAAATAAGTCAAGCACAGAAAGATAAATACTATGTTATCACTCACATAGAAGTAAAGAACAGAATAAAGGTCATTAGAGGATGGGAAGGAAGGGTAGGGAGAGGTTGAGTAACAAATTTACAGATAGATGGGAAGAATAAATTCTAGTGTTCGGTAGCACTATAGGCCCAGTACTGGTCTGTGGGCTGTTAGGAACTGGGCCACACATCAGTGCCTGAGCTCCGCCTCCCCCCATTCCTGGTCCGTAGAAAAATTGTCTTCCTTAAAACTTAGGACCTGGGGGCTGCACAGCAAGGAGGTGAGCAGTGGGCGAGCAAGTGAAGCTTCATCTGTATTTACAGCTGCTCCCTACCGCCTGAGCTCCTCTATCTCTCCCCCAACCCCCGCCCCCACCAATCTATGAAATAATTGTCTTCCAAGAAATCAGTCCCTGGTGCCAAAAAGGTTGGGGACCACTGAGGTAATGGATCTGCCCTGCTTTGATCACCACACATTGTGTACATGTATTCAGATGTCACTCTGTATCCCATAAATATGTACAATTACAAAAGGGGGAAAGAGGATGTAGAGGTGAAAAGGGAACTCAGTTGTGTTTTTGAATGTTCTAGCCAGAGAGGATGTGATGCCATTTAGAAGAAGAGAAGCAGGCTGTTGTCAAGGCTGAAAGCCTGGCCTTGAGTCACGCAGAGCTGGGCTCTGCCTGGACTTAGCCTTTCATCTACTGTGACTAGCCAAGTTCCTGAACTCTCTGAGCCTTGGATCTTTTTACCCTTAAAAAATAGGTAATAATGATGCCAGTAATGATAATAATAATGTTTTATAAGGTAAGTTCTGAATAGTGTGCCAGGAGCAGTGGCTCACATCTGTAATTCTAGCACTCTGGAAGGCTAAGGTGGAAGGATCGCTTGAGGTCAGGAGTTCACCACCAGCCTGAGCAAGCATGAGACTCTGTCACTACTAAAAAAAATTAAAATAGAAGAAATTAGTCAGGCATGGTGGCACATGCCTGTAGTCCCAGCTACTTGGAGGCTGAGGTAGGAGGATCACTTGAGCCCAGTAGTTTGAGGTTGCTGAGAGCTAGTCTGTTGCCTCGGCACTCTAGCCTGGGTGACAGAGCAAGACTGTCTCAAAAATAAATAAATAAATGTATGCTTGTATATGTATAAAATTCTCAACTCCTAAGTTTTAGGTCAAGCCTATAATACTTGGTAAATGGTGGCTCTGGAAAATGCAGGAAGTAGAGGAGGAAATTTGAAATGCATGCTGATTATGATTTTAGGAACTTTTTTTTTTTAATATGTGTGTGGGTGTGTACACACACACATACATATGCATATTTAGGTGAATTATTCTCCAGTTCATTTTTTCCATTTATTTTTTATTTGTGTATATTCATGGGGTACGAGTGCAGTTTTGCTACACTGATACTTTGCATTGTGGTGAAGTCAGGGCCTTCAGTGTATAAGTCACTGAAATAACGTACATTGTACCCACCAAGCAACCTCCCATCCTAACCCCATGGCGAGCCTCCTGAGCCCTCGCCACATGCTGGGCACACTTCTGAGGTAGACCTTAGTTAGAGGCATCCCCAAGGCTGAGAACATTGAGGTGCTTGTGGCAGCACAGCTCGGTTGGGTCAGCAGGGACCACTTGAGTTGAAGGCACAGCAGAATGTCCCAGTGGAGTGACCGAGAGGCTGTGGGAGATGTGGGCAGTGACTTAGCAGCAGCACGGTCGGGGCTGGGGAGTCATCTGCCCAGGAGGAGCTGCTGTCGCCAGGGGAGAACGGTGAAGAGCAAGTCAGGGGCGGGGAGGAGCCACAGGACAGAGAATGCCTTGAGGACAGGCCAGCATGCAGAACACAGCACCTGATACACCAGACAGGACCCAGAAGCACCTCCAGAATAAAGGGTGGATGAAAAGAAGCACTGGTGGGTGTCTGCAAAACAGTCATCAAGGGCTTTTTCTGAGTGTGGCTTTCCCTCTAACCCAGTGGAACCCTAGGCCTGTCGTACACCTCTGTTTAAGGGCAGGGACACTTTCTCATGGTGGAAAACACACTCTCCTGAATGATTCAGACTCTTCACATGTGATGTCTGATGCTAAACCATTTAATAACGTGTAAACCTTCAGAAGGAGTGATATACCCTGTCCCCTCCTAAAAGACCTTCTAATTATGTAACTAACCTCAAAATTATTCCTAGCAGCTTTGGAAGACTAGACCCATGTTTTTAAGAAGAAATAGAAGATAACTTGACATAGTAGCCAATGTTTGTGGCAAATGAGGCTTGGGTATTTTCTTCTTACTTCTGCAAGCCCCTGACAGAGTTAAAGGGAGAAAATTGGCTGTGTAGTCACCTCTGTGTCTCCTCCACCACTTACTAATCTTGCCTCCCCACTCCTTTTTATGTTTGTTTTGTTTCAGCTTTCTTTGTTCTGCTAGTATTTCTTTTTTCCTGACTGAGCTAATAACTCAGATTTATTTTGTTTTCTAGAGACAGCGTCTCACTCTGTCATCCAGGCTGGAGTGCAGTGGTGCAGTCATAGTCCCAAACTCTTGGGCCTAAGTGTTCCCCCCACCTCAGCCTCCCAATATAAGCACACACCACCATGCCCAGCTAATTTTTTTTTAGAGATGTGGTCTTGTTATGTTGCCCAGGCTGGTCTCAAACTCCTGGCTTCAAGCAGTCCTCTCACCTCAGCCTGCCAAAGTGCTGGGATTACAGGTGTGAGCCACTGCACCCAGCTCCAGATTTATTTGCATAAAAATCCCCTTTAGTGCTTTGGGACTGGTTACTAATTTTGATGGTCTTCTAGGTCTTTAAATCTTAAAAAATGTTAAGTCTGCTTTTCTGGGGTTTAATATAGTGTTTTTCAACCTTTTTTAACTCATGGCCTACCAGCCAAGATTTTGTGGCATCAGCCTTTCTGTAGATTCTATTACGAAACAATAGGTGAGTCTGTGTGTTTGTTTTCCAAGTATGAAATTATAGTATTGACTATCCCTTTTCAGACTTAACACTGTCCCTCCGTGCTATATTCTCCTTTCCCAGTTTTTGATCAGTCACCCTAAGTGAAATATATTATTCTTCTTAAGAATCACTGGCCTTAAAACCAGAAGTAGAGGTGTATTCATCCATTTATTCAATTAATAAGTACTTTACACCAGGCCAGAGAAAAGCCTAGCCTTATTAGAATCTACAGTCTTGTGGGAGAGTCAGGTAAATAAATAAAGACATAAATAATCAGAGAGTGTAATCAGTGATATGAAGGAAGTCAGAAAGAAAAGTATGTAATGGCATGTGAAACACTAATTCCTTTGTTTTTGAGGTGATTCAGGGGCCTGGATTTTGCTTGGTTTGTGGTTACAGGAACTCTTTGGACTGATGCACTGCATCAGAAAGTCCCTAGATGGCGATAAAGATGCAATTGCTAGAGAATCTTACCATTGTCTATTATCTATTATCCATTTATTTCCAAGAGGAAAGTTACACTTCCTGATATTGAGCATTTGTTGTTTTGCTCCAAGAGCAGGAAAGCTGCTCTGGCTTTTGGGAACTAGCAGCATCGTTTGATGGGGTGAGTGTTTCGCTGGCCCTGGACACCTGCATTATTCTAGTTCTGCCCCTGGTGGCTACATGACTTTGATCAGGCCAGGCCCCTGCTTTCTTGACTATAAAATGGGGACAATAATACCCAACCCATGTATCTCACAGGGTTGTTATGAAAATTAAGAGGTACAACTATTAAGTATCCATAAAAATTAAATTTTTTTTAAGAAGGTAAATCTAGAAAAAAAAATCAAGAGGAATAGCACACACAAATGCGTTTTGAAAAATACAAAGCATTATACAGAAGCCAAGCCATAACAATCACCTTACTGATACAAAAATAAAATAGTTTCTGAAACTGCAGTGACTGACACTACAGTTAAGTGTTGATTTTGGGTAAACATAAGGGGTCTATCATGTATAACATCAGTAGGGCAGAGAACAAATTATATATAGGTATGGCCATTTAATCCTAAAGTAGATTATAATTTTACTGAAATTAACAGTGTTTATTTTCAAGACTATGTTTGAGAAATAATTAAGTCAATATTGGTACTGACTAGTAATTGATAATGGGAACTATTGGAGCTTACTTTACCAAGGGAGAAGGCTAGCAGTAATTAAACTTTTCTTTTGATACACAGAATATAAAAAGCTCTTTTGGAGCCTTTCTGGATCATCAGGTATCTACTATCCTGTGTTGAACATTTGGTGTGGCAATGTTCTTAGCTTTTTTGTTTCTTTTTTTTCTTTTTTCCCTTAATGTTTGCAGAAGCTGTTGTCTATGAACATGGTTAAACCATACACCTTAAATAAAGAAGTATTTGCCAAAGTGCCAGCATATAGTGCCTGGCAGATACCAGCCACTTCAGCGTCACTTTAAATAAACAAAACTAAGAACATAAACACTCCTATAACAGCTTTTAAAAACAAACTCTATTTTTTCTCATAAGATATGAGTTCCCAAAAGCAAAATGGAATGGTAGAGTTTTTTTGTGTGTTTGTGAAATATTACAATAATACCATTACTGCTATCCTATATTTACCTCTGGGGAAAGTTGAGTCCTTTTGTTAAATCTATAGAAATCAATGTCTAACTTACATAACTGTTGTTCAGGCCTCCAATATAATGAATGGGTAGTTTGTGATTTCTAGAACAATGCAGAAGTAGAGGAAAAAATAATTCTGGTATTTTCCTTTTTCTAGGGAACACGTTACATTAGGATCTTCATTATTTAGAAAATCTTTTTTATTTTTTGAGAAAAACTTCAGGCAGTTTGCTATGACTGAAAAAAAATTTGTAGAGAGAAAAATTCTATTCTATGAATACTTTCATGTTTCAACCTGTGTCCCATTGAAAGTTTAGCCTACACTCTGCTCTTTTTCTGTTGATTTTGCTGATGGTGCTGTGTTCCTTCTTCCTCAGTAGATTTTGTGACGATTATAGTCAGTTATTGGTTTAAAATGTGTGTGTGTGTGTGTGTTTTACCCATTGTATCTAAATGATAATTTAGACCCAGTAGTAGTCTTTGTTGACTGGCCTTTTGTTCCTTAAAAGCACACACTCTTCTTTCCTTTGTTGTAATTTCATTTTTTTAACAACAGTTTTTAAAAGCCCTATTTGTGAGTTATTGGATTGATGGACTTAGCCATATTTAGCGTTTCACTTTTGTCTCTGTGTATCATACCACCTTTTGATGTGTGGAAGTGATTGCATACTGACTGTTTTGTGTCTGTGAGACAGGGATTAATCTTCCTGCCCCCATTCAATTTCCTTTCTAGGTCCAACTGGCCCACCTTCAACACTCCCTCTAAGCACCCAGACCTCTAGTGGCAGCTCCACCCTATCCAAGAAGAGGCCTCCTCCCCCACCACCCGGACACAAGAGAACCCTATCCGACCCTCCCAGCCCACTACCTCATGGGCCCCCAAACAAAGGCGCAGTTCCTTGGGGTAAGTTATTCTAAAGTCAGGGCCATCACTGCCTGGGGCCAGGCAGTATGTGGGGCTCCACTGGGCAGGGGACAGTTAGCACCTTCATGAAGTGTACCAAAATACACACCTCTAGGATGAGGGCTTGGATATGTATGAATATGATTATACCTGCTTCTTAAGGCCAAGGAATATTTTGATAAATATTTAGGGCCATTAAAAACTATTAATAGTAATAAGGTGCCGAGCATTTCCTATATAACATTCAATCATTATAGCAGCTCCGTGAGGTAGGTATTGTGTTCGTCTCATTTATAGATAAGGAAACAAAGGCTCAGGAAAGCAAAGTAATCCACTTTCCTCACAATGTCCAGAATGGTTTTCTTATAAAATATAAATCAGATCATGGTCACTGTTCTCTTTAACACCCTTTAATGATTTCCTGTTGAGCTTCAGATAAATGCAAATTCCTTTCACCAAGGGAGTACAGGGCCCTGCATGATCGAGCTCGTGTCTCCCAGCCCCTTTCATGCTGCTCTGCTCTGGCCACCCGCCTTCTCTCCCATCTTGGACACGCCGTCCTCTCCCTCCTGAGGGCTCTTCCACTCCCTGGAACTCTGTCATGCTCTGTGAAAGGCTGGCTCCCTTTCATCCTTCAGTTCTTCGCTTTCATGTTTGTCTCCCTGACCTTCTTCTCTAAAAGAGCTTCCTTCCTCCCTGCCCATTTCCTCCCAAGTACCTTATCACAATTGAGAAATATTCGATTTATGTCTCTTTGCCCCACTAGAATGTAAGTTCCATGACAGCAGGACCTTGTCTGTCTAGTTCTCACCTGTGTTTACTGGAATCATGCCTGGCACATGGTGAATATTCAGTCATCACTTAAATGTGAATAAACTTACCCAGAGTCAGCTAGGTTAATCACTTCATTGACGTTGACTGCTAGGGACATGTTTGTGTCTGTAAGGGACATAATTCCCGTCTTTACTATTAGCCTGCTAGCAATTTAGGGGTCACCCCATTGCCCAGCAGAGTCCTGGTCCATGATGGGTGCACAGAGACGCTTTGCTGAATGAATGTGTTTGTGTGTCTCACCTCATCCTGCTGTTGTTTCATTGTGACTTTCTTCTTTTTTATTTTTAATTGTGCTATGTATTCAGCATAATGCTTTTAAAGGCCTCCTCAAAAGCCTATATCAAGTGTTGTGAATGTTTGAGTTTTGGGGAAAAGCCGTACTGTCCACTTGTAGATTGGCACACCTGTTCATCCTCTGGTCCAGATGCCCCGCATGTGTGTTTGTGGGCATGTCTCTATGTTAAGCCGTTCATTCTCTGACTCTGCTTGCTTATTTGAAGCACTTACTATGCCCATTGCTTGGGCCTTCTCAATCCATGTATCCATGGTCTAAGGAAGGACACATGTGGGTAAACAATTACAGTACATGTCTCTGCTGTCAGGATAGACATGTTACCTAAATACTGTAGAAATGCTGGAGAATTGAGTGTCAGACTTTGTGGGAAAGCCAGGGACGATTTACAGAGGAGGAGACATTCAAGATTTTGCTGTTAATGAACTAGTTCCCGGAATGAAGAAGCCAGGCAAGAACAATCAAGGTGTGCAGGCACGAATCCACACAAACACTAAGGATGTCCTTGGCATTTAAAGAGATCACATTCCATGGCCTTAAAATCTGTTTTGTCAAAAAGGACTTTCCCCCAAATAACATTCCCTTGAAAGTCATAAATTTGGTATGCAGACTTTCATACCACAAATAACAGATTAAACTTCTTTCCAACTTTCCCTCAACTTTAATCCTCTTGTTTAATTAGTTTTATTTTTGTATAAAGTTTACTTTTATATAAAGTACCTGTGTTCATGTTATATAGACTCAAAACATTCTGCAAAATAAATTTACCAAGTTCTGTTTTCTAACTTGAAAGTCATCATATTTTTAGATTTCTTTCACTTCACTCAACAGCAGGACTAGCATCTGGTCATTTTTCCTCCCATTGTTGGTGGGCCAGGGAGCATTTTTCACTAATAAACAAGGTTGTTATCAATTTATAAGAGCTAGGAGCATTAGAGCCTTTCCGGGATGTAGGCACTGAGCCAGCTGCCAGTTTCTCACCAGCTGAGAATCTCTCACCTACAACCAGGCTTGAAGAACAAAAATCAGAATCTATCCTTGACAAACGTAGCAATTCTTCACATGTCATAGACTTTGGTGATCACTCACAAACAACCCCAGTGTTAGTTCTGGAATTACCAAGGTGCACACACAAGCAGCTGGACTTCTCTTCAGGCAGGTTAAAGTGGCTCTGATCCTGGTATTTATACTATGTGTTGTATGAGCACTGCTTTGTTTTATCCCTCCCTGCCTCCTGCTCACATTGTATCCCAGAAGCCGAAGACGGGCCAGACTGGTTATCCATGAGGCACATGGGGGGATCAGCCTCCTAGGTAACATTCCTTTCTCATGCCTGCAGCTTCACTGGATGCACCCATCTTTCCAGTGCTCTTGTGTTCCCCTATACCTCCATCTCTCCTCAGCCCTTAAAGATCAGGGCCTTTGCACTGTCTGATCGGGAGGAGGCAGTAAGGAGTAGCCACTTAGCTCTCCCCAGGCCTCATGGCTGCCCCCCAAACAGGACGTGTCTGCCATTTTGAGGTTCAGCAAGTTCCCCCAAATTCCACTCTTTCCCCTCATATCTGAGCCTTTACTTATAGTATGCCCTCAACCTAGAATATTCTTCCCTTTATTCCTTTGTGTTAATGCTTAGTCATCTTTCAAGATCTGCTGTCCTGGGACCTGCCTAAAAGGCCTTCCCCAGTCTCACCCCCACCCCCACTCCTCATTCCTCTGGAATAGGGGGTATCACAGTGGTTCTGTTTCCTGACCTGTCTCTACCGGTACAGGAACTCCTTATGAGAAAGGACTATTCTGTTTCTCTCAGCAGAGCAGAGTGCTCTAATGAGGACTCGGTGTCATACTGACTGGTTTCCGATTCTGTCTCTACAACACGGTAGCCCCTTGGCTTCCGGCAAGTACCTTTGGATGGTTCAGCACCTCAGTTTCTCCAACTATGATATGGGGCTAGTATTAGTACCTGCATTATACATAGGGTTATCAGGAAGGTTAAACGAGAAAGACACATAAAGAATAGCCAGAACATAGAAAGCACTCAGTAAATGTTAGCTGTTGTTACCATTGTTCTCAGCCTGGCATTTTGCTGGATAGCTAGATGGTAGAAACCTGTATTAGTTTCCTGAGGCTGCTATAACACATACCACAAACTTGGTGTCTTAAAACAATAGACATTTATTCTCTCAATTCTAGAGGCTAGAAATCCAAAATCCAGCAGGGCTTTGCTCCCTCCAGAGGGTCTCTGGAAAGAATCTGCTTCTTGCCTCTCAGCTTCCGGTGGCTCCAGGTGTCCTTGGACTGTGGCTGCACCATTCTAGTCTCAGCCCTCATGGTCATCTTGCCTCTCACTACCTTCTCTCTGTGAGCTCAAAACTCCATTTGCCTCATTCTTACAAAGATACATGTGATTGCATTTAGAGCACACCTGAATTTCCTGTGTTAATCTTCTTGTCTCAAGATCCTTAATTACATTTGCAAAGACCTTTTCCTAATAAGGTCAGATTTACAAGTTCCAGAAATTAGGACTTGATATCTTTGGCCATTTTTCAGTCTACCACAGCTTGCCCTCTGTCTCTCAAAGATTCACATCTAACTCACATGCAGTATATATGTACCCCACCCCAATATCCCCAAAAGTCTCAACCCCCTGTCCCGGCCCTTGTTGTTTCTAGTCTTCAGAGAAGATACCAGCTGTCATGTAACTGGCAGACATACTCCTCCTTTCCCTGCTGTGCCTAGGATTTCCTCTTTCACATTCATGAGGGAGATTTAGGGATTGTGGTTCTTATCAGCAGCTCTCTAATCTTTATTTAATGTAAGGAAAGCAATTGGGGTCAACCCCTTGATCTGAAGAACTGAGCTTGTGAAGTAGGCAAGATGAGAGGCCTGCTGCCAGTGTGTGTGTGTCCCCTCCACCCCAGTCTGTTTATAAGCCACCTGTTCAACACCACTCCTCTGGTACACCAGACAGTCTCACCAGCCAGCCATGGAGCAGCACTGTCGTCACTCCCATGACCTGCCTGCAGCACAGCAGCCTCTTTCCTTAGCTGGAGGAAGTTTCCACCTGTCGAGTTTGGAAGCTTCTCCCACCACATTCCTGTTTCTGGTCTAAGGGGCACCTCTGGCGTTCAGCTTGTTTGCAGAGTATCTGTGACTGACAGGTCCTGGCTCCACTGGTGATCACAATTTTTTCTCTGCCAGTTATTAGCCCTGCCCGATCCTCCATGCTGGCCTTTCAGAAGATGAGTGGACTAGGCAGGGGAAATAAGCAAGGCAGTTGATGTTGAGACATTGGCGAGAAGGAGGGCCAGAAATTGCAACCTTCCATGCATCTACTTCACAGAAGGCCACACTTCCTTCATTACAAAGGCTCTGTCTTTCCCCCTCTCAAATTCCATTTGATGCACTTATGGATTCTCAGTATAGGTTTATGGCTCATAATAAAGAAAATGATAATTCTTCATTATTTAGAATCTTCAGATAAAAATCTGCTTGTATAATATTTTACAAGGTTAACATATGTAAGGGCCCTCACATGGTGCTGGGCACTGTGTTAATAAGCACTTTGCATGTATTAACTTATCTAATTCTTAACCACGGTTGCAGAGCAGAAAATGCTATTACCTTGACTTTAAGGTCACAGATGCAGAAAGGTTAAGTAACTTGCCCCATTTCTAACAGTATGTGGGGGTCCAGGACTTGTCTCTAGCTTGTGTGGCCAAGAGCCAGCACTCCTCACACTCTCCACACACTGCTCCGTGCTCGTGAAAGGCAGGCGAGTAAGCCGATAGCCATTCCTCCTCGTAGCAGTGGTTTCTGTGCCCGTGGTGCTGGCATGGGGAGAAGACGATCCACTTAGCACAGGTAGCAGTAGCCCAGCGAGCCCCACATGCTCCACTGGCTACTACCTCATCCACCTGCAGCATGGCAGCCTGCTGTGTGGTTCCGGCTCTGCCCAGGCAGGGAGGGCCACTCCACTTTTTCTCTGCCAGAACCACAGTGTCCACAGTGCCCAAAATAGTGCCAGCATCATATTACCGAAGTCCCGCTTCTGTGACGAATTCAGCCATCTGTCTCAGGAGACTTCTGAGGCAGGCTGTTGCTAACAAACAGATAGCCCTGTGGGTAGATTCAAATTTTGTGAGGACTTTATGATTTTTGAGGTGGCATTTCATTAAACCTTCTCCTTTTTTAATAACCTACTTTATAAAAGATCAACTCATATTTTAAGACAATTTAAATAAGGAAGTGAGAACAAAGGAAGATAAAATGAGTAGCAAAGTAAGATGGAGTCCAGGAGTGTGATTCCCTTCACAAAATGCATAACATAAGGTCACATACAGTGGCTGGAAGTGGACCACAGATTTGACCCAAGGGTCTTACACGCAAGAGCAAAAAAATATGTAATCACTAATCATCTAGTTTATGGTGGCCATAAGATTAATCCTGTTCTCACGCTTGAGAGTCTTGTAATTACTACCTGAGAGCAATTTCCCTTAGGGTCTCCATCCTTTGGCATTTAAAGAAGTGTCTGCAGTGCACATGTTGGGAAGCCGTAATGTGCACAGAATGAACGTTCCAGAAGCCTAAGTTCTGATCCAAGTTCAGCCAGTCCCTGGCTAAGTAACCTCTGGGAATCAACATTCATCTTTGACCACTGGGACTTAAAATTGTGTAGGCTTTTTTTATATACAGAGCAGATAATGGATGAAAAACTATACCACAAGTTCATTCACTTCTCATATTTCAAGGCCAGAACTTCCAGGTAAAAAGGCTCAACGTTTGGAATGTCTGACCTGAGGCATGCACATTTGCTTATTTGAAGTAGCATTGGCTTATGAAAGAGCTTGTGTATAGAAATTTCTTTATTTTTTCTTTTTCTGGGATTCTCCAATAATTTTTCATGTCTGCTTCTCCCCTTGCCCCCAACTGCATTTTGCACACAGTACTGGACATCATAGTGGCTACTACCATTTGTAGATTGCTTGCATGTACCAGGTGCCATGCACTTGTTCATACATTATTGTATTTAGCTATCACTGTCATCCTGTAAGACACTGGCACTGTCCCCAGTTTACTGATGACTGAATTGAAGGACAGAGAAGTCAAAAGACTTGCAAAAGGTCACAAACCCAGGAACTTCAGAACTGGGATTTAAACTCATTTCTGACACCAAAGGTCATGTACTAGTTCACTATTCCAGAAGACTCCTGGAGCCTCCAAGCCATTCACTGAGCCAATGTCCTCCTCCTTCCAAAGACTCTTTGGCTGCAGCTTCTAAGCTATAATAAGTGACCAAGAGTCTTGACCACAGTTTCTTTCATTGCTTGCCCAAGATGTATCTCCAGCTCTCTCTTACACACATCTGTACGATATACCAAGGTCCTTTTTCTTTTTTCTTTTTTTAGAGATGGGGTCTCACTATGTTGGCCAGCCTGTCCTCAAGCAGGACTCCTGCCTCAGCCTCCCAAGTAGCTGGGATTATAGTCTTGAGCCACTGTGCCTGACATCAGGGTCATTTTTCTAAATTGCATGGAGAAAGAAAAAAGGATTGAGCTGCTTCCATACTTTTGCTCCTCTTTACAGTACTATCTTATTTTCAGAAATTTTTCTAAACCACATTTTTCTTCTCAGGCACAGCAGGTAGCCTTTTCCTAGCTATGAGAGTGACAGGATTCTTGTCAGCTGAACGCCTACCTACCCAGGTGTGTGTGCAGCAAAGTTGATGAGTCAGTACTCTTGGTCCTTTCTTTTTCTTAGCAGAGACTCACTGACTGCTTTGTGCCAGACATTGTGCTAGAAAGTGGGGTTACCAAGATGTAGACGACAGAGCCCCTATCTTTGAGGTGCCACTCATAAATCAGCATCATTTCTGTTACATCCCATCAAAGAGCTGTGAATAATAAAAATACCATTTATATTATGCTTCCTGTGAATGGCACTGTGCCCCACACGCCATAGCTTATTTCTTTTAATGCTCATACCCATCTAGTGTAGTAGGTGCTATGGTTATTCTCATTTTATAGATGAGGGAATTGAGGCTTAGCAGAATAAGCAGTGTCATCCAAACTCATACCCACTGTCAGTGAAACAGCTGAAATTCAAAACCAGGCTTGTCTGGCTCCACAGTCTGTACCCTTAAGCATCCCTCACAAGAAGTTGGTCACAAGGCAGTGAGTGGTCAGGTCAGCTAGGGGAAAAATTCTCACAAAGTGAGTTTGGAAATGTCCTTTAATGGTTGTATAGGAATTCAAAGAGTGAAGGGGTCGGGCATTGCAGGGGAAGTTAACAGAAGGGGCAAAGTTACAAACACATGAAAACACACAGTGTCTTTGGAGAATGGAGACTCACTTTGAGTGGCCAGAGAGGAAGGTTAAATAAGGACTCTGGACACCCAGGCCTGTGGGCATGGGGCAGCAGCCCCTAACACGATGACTCATCTGTGAATGAACACAGCAGAGCGAGGGGGCTTTTGCAGCCCTCTTCGTCTCAAGTTCGCTCATGCAAACTGGGTTCTTGATCCCTTGTGCAGAATGTTTTCTACCTGGAAAGGGAATTAGTAGATGCAACAGTTTATTCCCCAAACACAGAACTTTCTTTGGCATTTTTGTTGTTATGGATCATTTAATTCTGTAAGTGTTAAGATTTGATATCCAGCCCTGAATACTCAGCATTGAGCACAGGGCTAGAAAGAAATGCTTACCTTGGGACCACAGCTCAGAGGGTTTACCAAAGAAGGCCTTAAATACTAAGTTATGGGCTCATGGAAATACACTGATGGTTAGAAGGAGTATCTTATTAAAATTAAACAGAACTAAATTTGAAAGTCTGGTTCTGGTAATGCCAGTTTAGCTTGTTTCTTCTTGTGTCAGTGTTACAGAACATTCTGTCCAAGAGGTCCAGTCTTAGCACTCTGCTAGCCTCAACCTCCAGGAGGTGCAGTAGGACTGGGTGGGGTTAGAGTGTGGGAGTTCAGAGGACAGACCCTGGAGGAGGGCTGCCAGCACTGCTGCCTAGCTCTGACCCTTACCCAGCTACTTGACCTTGGACAACTGACTTCCCTTCTCTCTTTGTTTCTTAGTATATAAAGTGATGATTATATTATCTCATATTCACAATTGCTGTGAGTACTTAGCACAATACCTTGCTCATAATAAGTGCTTAATAAATGGTTGTTGCTGTTATTAATGTATTGGGGCATCATAATAGGAAATGAAGAGCACATAGATTTGTCGTCAGAACTCCTAGATACACCATTTACTCGTGGGGCCTGCAGCTAGCTACACCTGCATTTAGCCTCACTTCATTTTCTTTAAAAAGGTGGTAGCGATGCCAGTCTCATGTTGTGAGGAAGGGTGGCTGGGTGCATATAAAAGCATGTGGGCAACTGTTGGTGCTGTTGGGCAGATATTATTAATATGTAGTGAGGATTGGTTCAGTTCTTTTCCCACTCCTGTCCTCTTCATCTACCCTCATGTTTCTGAGCCACCTGGGCAGTATTACAGATGTCTCGGCAGGGGAGGAAGGGAATCAACTGAAGGGAGAGAGCGCTTGGCGTTTCCAGAGCGGTCACTGGAAGAGAGAGCAAGTGGGCCCCAGAGACGGTGCATCCCTGCAGGTCTCAAGGATTCCTCCCGTGTGCCAGGCTGCCTTGGCGCCCCAGGACTGCCCTGCGCTCCTCCCACCATAGACTGGGTCACAGAAGAGCCCACTTTTATTCTTACCAGGTTTTGGACCGTCTCCTGGACAAAGCGCACTTACCTCCACCTGTGTGCCTCTGGTTTTGCTACTCCCCGACTAGCAGTTCTTTGCCTGTAAGATGCCGTGATCGCCTCAGAAGGCATTCCCTGCCCCTCTTACCAGTTAGACCTCAGACACTGTTTCCCCTTCATTTCATAGCAACCAATGTTCATTTCATTCCTCACTATTATCATAGTTACCATATGTAAGTCTCACATTGCTCTCAACTCTGAGAGCAGTGACAGTTTGCTTTTGTGCCTTCTGCTCTGCATTTATGCCTTGCATTAGTAGATGCCTAATAAATGTTAATGTTTGAATGAATGATGAATAAAGTGGCTGAGGGCCTTGCCCACCAGGTGACCAGTTATCACCACATACTCACAACTTGTGTCTTCTGAGTCTAGATACTAAGGGGTTAGTCTCCTAGCATGGGAACCTCCAGGTGAACTTGAAATTTTATGCCTTTCTCTGCCGTTAAACTAAGGACAAGATCCTGAGCCACCGGGAACATCCTGTGATCTTTGAGGCCTTTCCAGGGAGAATGCTGCTCACCTCTCTGACATCCTCCTTTACTAGCAATTAAATATCATGAGAGCCCAAATTAGTGCTTAATTTAATTTTATTTTGTTTTAATGCCAGAAATGCATACTGTTCTGGCTTGGGTCTTTTCAATGCCTTTCTGGAACCTGGGCGATGCCTGTCTGTATGCCAAACTCGTATATCCCCATATTGCATTTCCTTGTCTGAGGATGCAGTATGCATCTTTTCACATTCAGTTTTCCTTTGTAGGTAACGATGTGGGTCCATCATCTTCAAGTAAGACCGCAAACAAGTTTGAGGGACTGTCACAGCAGTCAAGGTAAGCCATCGTAGCACTTCCTCTCTCCTATTGGGCTCATAGATGCAATGGACAGAACTATAGAAATGGGTTTTCCCAGCTTTCCCAGGGCCACTCAAGAGTGTAGCCAGCCACCTGGGGCTGCTCGTGATGAGAAACTGAATGTCCACTCTCAGTGTCACGTGCATCTCGTTGCTGAGCCGTCACAAACAGTTCTCCGCCTGTCCTAGGTCTGCAGACCGTGTTTTCAAACAGCACAGCTCTCTGTTGAGTTCACAGTAGGGAGCTAACCCCATTTCCCTGATGGTCACAGGGCCATGCAGTGGTCTTTCATAGAATTCCTGTCAGAGTAAGTTTTTATTTTTGATGTTTTAATTAAGTAATTTTTTCGTAAAGTAAATTTTTTTAAATCCTTTTTCAGACTTGAGAATGAAAACATATTCTTCAGGGAAATCTGATTGCCCAGAGATTTTGCAAACTTAAAAATGTGACTCTCTTCAAGCTCCCTTGTATGTAAGATTGTTTTTAGGCTGAAATGAAAGCGGTGTTCCTTTCTTCCCTCCTTTTGCCGAAGTGGGATACTTTGGGAGAGCTTCTACGGGCAGTATTTATCCAGCCCTACCCCAAAAGGTTTTCTCTAGAGGTGCCATCCGAGAAAAGGACACAGAGAGCCACTTCCAGACCCAAACCTCAGGGAGAAAGAGCCAGCTGCTGTGTGAGAGTTGCTTTCCAGAGTTTCTCAGAGATGAAAGAACAAAACCTCATTTATCTTAATACCGCTGTCTTATTTGATCTTTTAACCCTACGAGATAGGCCCCATTACTGTTATCCTCAGTTTACAGATGGGGAAACCAAGGCAAGGTTCAGTGGTGGGCGCAGATGTCCGAGCTGGCTTCCCAGACCCCATGCTCTGTGCCCCTTCCTGACCCCGTGCCCTGCCTTCTATTGCTCACTCCATCCAAAGTTCTAGTGGTCATCTTCCCAAGTGGGCAGAGTGTCAGGCACTCGGAAAGCATAAAACGTTTTTAAACCCAATCAAGCTGATCATAAACTAGAGCCATTTGGTGACTCATTGAGTCTTCAGTCCCCTCCCCCACGCCCATGCACACGCGTGCTCACGGCCACCAGCAGGAGCAGCCATATTCGTCTCCAGTAGGAAGAGCCCCAGGTCCAAGCACAAGCAGTGTTGATACGGGGGATTCTGCGTAAGCAACATTTGAACCTAGACCTTGGCCGCAGTGACGTGGCCAGGAATGGCCATCGAGCTCACACCAGTCGTGGGCGGCTGTGCTTCCCTGAGAAGATGCTGAGAAAGGACGCACCAAAAAACACTCCAAACATGTTAGAAGCAAAGCCGAATGATGTTTACTGTTTCTCGTTTAGTAGAAGCTTTATCTCAACAATATTATTCTCTAGTTGCCCAAAGGTAGAAGAATTTCAAGTGAGCTGAAGAAAGAGCAGTTAAGATCAAGGGTGTTTGAGGGCCAGGACCGAGAAGGAAACACATACATTTTATCATCTGTCTTTGACTCTTTTTTGTTTGTTTTGGTTGTTTGGTTGGTTTCCCTTTTCCTTTTATTTTAAATGCAGTTAAGATAGAAATACGAAAAAGAAGCCAACTCTTAGGACATCAGAGGACAGGAGGGAAGAAATTAGATAGTAAAAGGGGTTTGTGGAAGATGGAGCCCAGGCTCTTGGCTGCTACTGCCTTTCAGGCATGCAGTCCTCGTGGTGTCCTCTGAGAATCACTAAAGCCTCTTGGTAAAGGAAAACAGTGGCTTCTGTCTGGTAGGCTCCACCTGTAGCACTGGCATTTCACAGGAGGGTTAACATTTGATGATTCAGATGACATGGTACGGACTTGTACTCCAGGAAGTTGGGCATTTTCCCCACACCTACGTGTCCTCTAAAAGGAAGAAAAAGCCAGGGAAAGCCTGGAGGCCTGAGATCCGAGCTATTTGCTTTGCTGGAGTGGGGGAAATGAGGGCTCTGCTGGTGAGCAGGGCTAGGGCTGAACTTCCTCTCCCACCTCTGACCAGCGCGGACCTTCTGGCAGCCACTGACCCTCACTCACTTCAGTTTCCCCACCTGGAAGTGGGGGTGATGAGAGCTGCTTTGTGGGATCTGGTGCCATGAGTCGCTTCTGTGTGCTGCGCTGGTGTTGCTACTTAAGTACTCCAAGTGCCTGCGTAAACATTTACCGCCTCCAGAAAAAAGCTTTGAATTGGAGGAGTTTGGCTTTATCATTAAGAGGGCTTTTTTTTTCCTTCACCCTTTCACTATGTCTCCGCAGCCCAGCAAATTGAAATATGTCAAATAAACTATAATGTTTTGTTAAAGAAATTTTGAATGGATGTTTTAGATAATTCTGTGTGTGCCTTTTATTTCCTTGAATAATACATCACTACTGATACTCTAGCACTTCTAGATCCTAAATGATTCTTGTTTATTAATTAGCACCAGTTCTGCAAAGACTGCCCTTGGCCCGAGAGTTCTTCCTAAACTACCTCAGAAAGGTAAGATTTCTCTTTTTCACATTCACATGTAATTACAGTATCACTGCACCCTCCAAGGGGACATGGGTCTTTGTCCCCCACTGATCTAGCCCAAATACCTGGAGCAGCACACCTGGTGTGTAGTACATGCCCAATAAGTATTTGTTAAATGAAGAAAAGTATTTATAAACTCAAATTTGATGATTAGCAAAATACCATACTTTTCTCCCAAAAATAATACTTTTGTAGAAGACACATAATTGTAATCCCCAGGTACTATTCTTTCTCCTTTTATAAACATAATCAGAGAGACCTGGGAAACCGTTCCGGCTCTACCACTTACTAGCTGTGTGGCCTTGGGCAAATGACTTAGTAGCTTCACTAACCCTCAGATTCCTCATCTATAAAATGGAGGAAATAATACCTACTTTGTAAGGTTTTGTAAGGACAAAATGAAGTCATGCTTCAGAAAGTCCCTCGCAAGTGGGTGGCAAAGGAATCCTTCGCTGGGATGGCATCTGTCGTGTAGAGCAGAGATACCCATGCTCTGCGAGGCACAAGAAAGCAGTGTCTATAAATGCTGCTGCTTTGCCAAAGCAAAGACACTCAGCTCTTTGACCAAGTGTTTTTTAATCCTGACCAGGCTTTTTATTTGTAAAACCAAAATTTCAGTTTTCTTATTGCAACACAAATGACAGTGTTGCCTTTCTGTTGTTACGGTGCCTTTCCTTTAGAGTTGCACAACACCTTTAGAAGTGCAGGTTCATTCCATCCCCACATGTGCCTTCAGGGCCCGCCTTAGATATAGACAGAGGTTCAGAGGAGCTCCGGGCTGCTCTGTGGCTTTTTGGTGTCAGCAGCAAGACTTGTGACCCCAGTCCTGGCTCTGGTGCCTAGTTCAAGGAGAAGTCAAGCTAGGGGTTAGTATTGGGAAGTTGAAATTCATCACTCTCCACGGCTCTTCAGTGAAGTGACACATTGGGAAGAGCACTGCCTGGTCGTCCAGGCTCCTGTGTAGTAAGATGAGGGGAGTCCCAGATGGCTGCCAATTCATTCTCCATAGAACAGAAAGGAAGGCTTGCCCTGGGTTCACTGAGTCTTTATCCCGGGTTGGTTTTTGCTGTGTGTTTTATTTTTAAACACTGCCCAAGGGCTGTCCTGATCTCACAGGAGTTTGAGACAAGTTTCCCAGGCAGTCTGCCCAGATTCCACTCGTGTCACTCACATTGTCCCCGCCTTTCCAGCCCACTTCCTCTAGCACCCAAAACCCAGCTGCTGCCACCTCTTCCCTGTGTTCATTCCCTTGGTGCCCTCCCTTCCCTGCCAGCCCGGCATCAGTCCATTCCTGAAAGCACCTGCACCCTGCTGTGCTGGATTCTGCCAATCCACTGGCTCCTGTACCTGGACCTGGTGGCCAGAGGTGGCTGGGAGAGAGAGGCACAGTCAGGATAGGATGGTGGCTCTACTCATGACCACTGGCCTCGCAGTCGTCTGGCAGTGACCCTAGTGCAGGTGCCCAGCGCCTGCCCCCCACTCCTCCACACGGGCTGTCTTCTCTTCAGGAGGACTTGGCTTTTCTTTGCCCAGCGAGCCAGCACATAAGTCCTACCTGCCTGCATGTGGCAGGTGGTCCTAATGTAGACCCTTTCCCCTCCTACCTGCCTAGGGACAGCATGCCAGCAAGTGTCCATGGCCTGCTGTGTCACTGTTCTCCCTGAACCGTCCTGTCACAGTGCAGGTGTGCTGTCAGAGTACCCGTCTGGACCTGCGTCCTTGCCACACCACCCCGTTGCTGTACTCCCATTCTTTCTCTTTGTGTGTGTATGTTTTTTTACTGTTTGAAATTTCTCATAATAAACATGTACAGAAATACCGAAAAGACTCAGAACAGTATAGTGCAGCCGCCTCCTCCACAACCAGATACTCATCGTCCATCTCCACAATTACCAGTTTGTGCCTGATCTCGTTCCATCTCGTTCCCGACCCACCCCCGTAATTCTGTAGCACATCCCAGGTATCATGTCATTTTGTACACATGCAGTCCCATAGCACATCTAAAATATTTAACACATCTGAAAAATCTGAAATTGCTTACTGTCATCAAATATCCAGTGTTAAGTTTCCAGTTATCTCACAATTTTTTTTTTTTTTTACAAATTATTTGAATAAGGAACAAAATAGACACATTACAGTTGATTGATTTGTCTCCTAAGTTTCTTAGGCTAATGTTTTCCCTGCATCTCTCTCCTTTTATTTGTTGAAGAAACTGGGTTATTTGTTCTTTAGGTTTTCGCAGTCTAGATTTTGCTGATTACAGCCCCGTGTGTCTGTTCATTTAACCTGTTCCTCTGTCCTCTATATCTCCTGTTAACTGGAAGTTGGATCAGATACAGGTTCAGGCTTTGGCAAAACACACACCATTTTGTAGGTGGTAGTGTGTTCTACCCAGAGGTACACACCGTCTGATTGACTGTCTTCATGTGAAGCTTGCAGCTGTTTATACTCAAAGCCAAGATCCATTCACCCACCCTCTCCAAATGCCTCTACAAGGCCGTTGGGCAGTGGTTAGTCCAAACCCTTCTCTTTCTTGGCCTGTCTGCAGCTTTTGCATAGTTGATTGCTCTTTCCTCCCTGGCGCACTTTGCACTTGGCTTCGGGACACCACCCTGTTCATTCTGACTGCACTGACAGTCCTTTCTCCACCTCTTCTGCTGCTTTCTCCCCATCTCAACCTCTGAGTGTTGGGATGCCACAGGTTGTGGTCATGAACTGCTTCTCTTCTGCATCTGCCTTCACTCCCTAAGTGATCCAGACAGTCTCATAACTTTAAAACCATCTGGAAAGCGCCACACTGATATCTCTAGTTGAAATATCCCTCCATAATCTGAACTCACAGACAACAGCCTGTTTGGCCTCGCCACTTGGATGTCTCTTAAGCTTCTCAACTCAAAACTTGAACACAGACTCCTGATACCCTCCAGACTTGTCCCCTCTGCAGTGTTCCCATCTCTTTCCAGGTGTTCAGGCCTTAAAACCTCAGAGAGATGCTTAACTCCTCCCCTCTCACACACCCCACATCCAGTGTTCCCACAAATACTGTTGATTTCCCTTTCGATATATATTTAAAACCCAGTCATTTCTCCCCATGTCCACCACTGTTGCCCAGGTCCAAGTGACCATCATCTCTTATCGGGACTGTTGGAGCCTTCTACCTACCTGGTCTGCCTGTAGTCTTCCACGATGGCCCTGCAGTCTGTTCTCAGCAGAACAGCCAGACCGATCCATGTTCAGTCACTGCTCTGTCCCAGGCCATCCAGTGGTTCCCTGTCTCACCCAGAATAAAAGCAAAGTCTGTATGGTAGCCTCCAGGGCCTTCTGTGATCTGAACCCTCCCGGCTGTGTGACCTCTGCCCTGCCCCTAGCCTCCATGGGTATTTCACCCTAACAACCCCACTGGCCTCCTGCTCCTCTGTAAAGATCCCAAACACGTTCCTAGCTCAGGGCTTTACATTTGCTCTTCCCTCTGCCACCAACCTGAACCATTTCTTCCCCACACCCCTAGCCCCTACTACCTACCACCTGGCAGTACAGCTGGTGTTCTGGCGTCCTGCACATTTTTGTTCAGCTCTCACCATATTAGAGAGGCTTCCCTGACCACGCTGTTGGGTAGCCTGCTCTCCCTCCCACACACACCATCTCTCCCTTCCCCTGCTTTACATACACTCGCCCTCTGACATACTCTGTGTGTACTTGTCATCCTCTCGTGAGAATCTGAGCTCCCAGCAGACAGGAACCTGCTCTGTTCCATCTGTTGCTGTGTGTTTCAGGTGCCTGGAACAATGTCAGGCACAGCATATGCCCAGCAAGTAGTGGTGGAATGGTCACCCTTTTCTTGTCGATCTGAACTGTTCTTGGGCTAGGAGTTGGCCGTCCCTTACTCACTTTGTGACTTGGGGAGGTTCCACAACTTGTGTCTCCACTTGGAAAATAGGAATGATGGTGATATCCATGTAGCAGGGCTATTAGGAAGATAAAGCAACTTAAGGAAGCCGGTCTCAGCAAGGCCGCCCTCCTCTCCTCCTCTGCTCTTGGTTCCATCTCTCGCCTGCCCAGCATTGAGTCTTCTGGGCTGGTGTGCACTGAGGTGCTGGCCAGCCTCCTCTTCTCCCCTTGAAGGCCTGTACCAACAGCCAGGCTGTTACCCCAAAGCCAGGAGTGGCAGAGAGGGTGTGGGACAGAGCCAGGATACATGACGCTGGGCACAGCATGGCCCTGCACCGTATTTCACACTAATGGTGGTGATGATGGGGCTTTGACTTGTGATTAGAAATGCCTCTAATGGCGAGAGGCCCCTGTCCCCACTCCCTTCTTCTCACATGCAACTAACAGGGGCACTAACATCGATTGATCCTGCTACAAGTCAAGCACTTGCATATTTTCATCTGATGTAATCACATCCACCCCCTTATGAAGTAAATGGTATTTTCTACATTTTTTACATGAGAAAACTGAGGCTCGGTAGGTTAAGAAACTTGCTCCAGGTCACAGGGTTATTTAGCCAAAAAGCAGCGAGGCTGGGATGTTTAAGTCCTTATTCCTAAAGCCAACACGAGACTGCTTTTTCTGTTAATTCACTCCACCTGTGCTTACTGCGCAGCTTCTCTGCTGCAGGCAGCGTGCCCGGTGCTGGGGTAAAGCGGTCAAGAAGCCTCTGCCCGCAAGGCACTCTGTAGTGGGGGACACCATTACAGGCAGAAGTAAGTTGCAGGAAATATAGGAGGGGGTGGTGCTCGGGGGAGAGACTGAGGCCCAGCCTGGAGCTCCTTGCTCACCAGACTCTGGAACCTGCAGTGCTGTGGCAGTAAATGACTGTCATCCACTCACTGGACCTTCTTTCCTGGGCGTCCACAGGCACAGTCCTGACCCCCCTGCCCTGGTGGCAGAGGGCATCTGCAAGGCTGGAGGGGCAGAGCTGCGGCTCCCTCCCCGGGCGTCTGCTGGCGGCAGGCAGTGTCATGTGGACTGTGTCCCGGCCACATTCCCCTCTTTTCCTCTTCCAGACACCACCCAGTTTTCAAATCCTGTGGGTACCTTTTAAAAGGGTTGATTTAAAGCCTTCTCAGCTGGAGACATACAACAGTAGAACCATTTTCTAAATGTATTTTTTTGGTAAAAAGCAATATTACAGAAACATTAAAGGACTTTTAAAGATGAACAGAGTCACCCGTAAATTCTGTGATACAACTCCCAGATCCCTTCCAAGAACACACATTTTTCTACAGATGTCATCATTGTGAAAGTACAGTCTTGCATCCTGTTTTTTTTTTTCCACTGAGCATTTTAACATAAGTATTTTTTATGTGTTCATGAATTCCTCCTAGGCATGGTTAAGGCACGCACTATTCCATTCAGTGCAGGCCCATCATTTACTCAGCATCCTCTTTTGTTGGAAATTTGGGCCGGAAGTTTGTAGTGAACATCTTCACATAGGCTTTTTCCTCCTCCACCTCGTCCTCCTCCGTTACAGCCTTAGTGCAGTTCTCAGGAATGGAACTGTTACAGTAAAGGGTTGTAATCTTAATAGCACGTACTCTGCGTACACGCGGCTTTTCAAAGGGCTGTATATCCAGTTTGCTTTCCAGGCAGTCTTGCCTGCAGGAGGCGAGTGCACTATGACACTACTACCCTAAGTTTTTGGGATTTCATTCCTTTTCTGTTTTGAATGCACCTCACTCTAGCAGTGGACCCTTTGTAGTCCAGCTGTGGGGAAAAGCCTGCCCTTCAGAGTTTAAGAATGCAGTCAGAAAGGACTTCTAATTGGAGAGAGGATAAACTAACGAGAATAAAATAGCCGCAAAGGTTGGGCAGGCTTCCCTAAAGAAGAGACTGTTTCCTTATTTTGTTTCTTATTGTTATTAAAGTATATCTATTTATTATAGAAGATTTAAAAAATACAAATAAGAAAATACCACCTGAAGTCATTTTTTTCCAGCATATTATGGGTAACAAATGTTAAGGTTACATATATTGCCCTTGCCCTCTCTCCCCCCTCAAGTCAGAGCTTCAAGCGTGCCCATCCCCCAGTTGGTGCTCATCGCACTCATTATGTATGAATATACCATCCCCTCCCCCCACCTGCCCAACCCCCGATAAATGTTATTCCTATATGTCCACTTAGGTGTTGATCAGTTAATACCAATTTGCTGGTGAGTACATGTGGTGCTTGTTTTTCCATTCTTGGGATACTTGACTTAATAGAATGGGTTCCAGCTCTATCCAGACCACCTGAAGTCTTGTAACCCAGGATAACCAATTTGGTATATATCTTTTGTCTTTTTTTCCTGTGCTTTTTTTTTTTTTTTAATTTCTGTTTAAGCTGATTTTTTTTTCTACATAAAAAAACCAAAAACATTTTTCATGACATCAGTTACACAGCAGTGTGATTTTTATTGGCTACATAGTATTCCATTGTCGAAGCAAACCCCTGCCATTTGACAATCAGACAGCAATTTTTTCATCATAAACAACGCTAACCCTAGCACAGACATCTCTCAGTGTGTGACTTAGGTCATTTTTAAGGATAAATTCCTTGAATCGGAGTTGCAGGCGAAGGGGCTTGTGTATTTGGAGGTTTTGGGATGCCCCGTGCTTGCAGTTTCTCTTCCCCTGTAGGCATGACTCACAGCAAGGCCTCCACCCCCACGGCCTCAGGGATTCCCGAGCCTTTTCCCTCCTTACCACCTGCCTCCGATTGTTGTTGAGCCAATTTCAAACTTCCAAGAGAGGAGCCCAATTGATCTAGTTTAGAGCCAAACCCCATCAGCTGAAGCTCGAGGGCTAGCCCGTGAACAAGGTGCCCTTGGATTTGATATTTTTAGGGATGTGGCTAGGTAGGTCATGAGTGGGCACGGCCCCAGCACAGCTTGTGACAGTTTACAACACTGGAGCTATCTTTTCTTTTTCTTCTTTCTTTTTTAAGAATGTCTTTCTGAATAGGTTGTATTTTTAGGGTCAAATCCTTAGTTTTTTGTATGTAAGACAGAGAAATCAAAAAAGAATAATAAACCTTTTTTAATTTAAAAATAAATTTAAATCCTTAGTTTGATTCACTCAGTGTGCCTAGTCAGCTGATTCCTTCCTCAGTGCATACTATGTGCCTGGCCCCTGTGCCAGGAGCCAGGGTTAGCAAAAATGAATGAAAATAGGAATCTTGGCCTCAAGGAGCCCTGTCTAAGAATAATGATATTGCTCTTATATGTATAATGTTTACAGCCTGCCAGGTCCTGTCAGTAAATTCTTTGCATATATTAACTCATGGAATCCTCCTGCCAACCCTTTGAAGCAGAGTTTTGGAGATGAGGAAGTTGTGGCACAGAGAGGTTGTATAATTTGCCCAAGGTCACACAGCTACTAAGTGGTAGAGCCACAGTTGGAGATGTGTCCTAAGCGCTACTGTGTAGAGCTGTATAAATAGCTGTGGGAATGGTTTGACAGATTGTAGCTGTGCAGGATTGTGCAGCCATTAGAATAAGAAGGAACTGACATAGAAACTCTTCCAAACCTATTAGGTGGGGCAAAAACAAAGCTTCAGACAATGTATGTATCCCATGTGTGGTTTTTAAAAGCTTCATAAGTACAAGTATGTGTATCACCAAAATGTAACAGGTCACAGGATAGGGACAGGGTGAGAGGAGAAGCCTTTTGCTTATCTTATATGCTGTGTGAATCATATAAAATGGGGGGAAATATTGATACAGCTATAGAATGGAGTAGAATTCACCATTCAGAATTATATACTTCTAGTAAAGAATTTTTAATAACATGACAAATACATTTGTTAAAACAGTATTAGATAAAAGCAGATGAAATTATATCTTTAAAAAATATATAGAAGAGGTGAGGAGGAAGTGTATCAAAATATTTTAAATGGCTGCATTTAGATGGTAGGCTAACAAAAAAAGTTTTCTTTTTACACTGTACTTTCCAATTTTCCATAATCTGTGTTTATTGTGTTTGGTGTTTTTTTCTTTTTTTAATTCTGGATTAGTATGAACATCCCCTTCTTACATAATTGAGGCATAAAGTCATGAATTATTATACCTTCCAGGCTTCCAACTTTCATCTTTTTAAAAACAGGCACCCTGGGCCTGGCCCTGAGCTCCTCCATCCCAAGTGCTCACTCTGGGTCAGGTCCCTTCACAGTGATTGTGCCTCCTTCAGATGACCGTGACAGGAGGAAAGCCGCCCTTCCCACCTCGTATTCCGTTCCAATGACCTCCCTCTTTGTGATTGTTTCCCGCAGTGGCACTAAGGAAAACAGAAACCAGCCATCATCTCTCCCTAGACAAAGCCAATGTCCCGCCTGAAATCTTCCAGAAATCGTCACAGCTGGCAGAGTTACCACAAAAGCCACCACCTGGAGACCTGCCCCCGAAGCCCACAGAACTGGCTCCCAAACCCCAAATTGGAGATTTGCCACCTAAGCCAGGAGAACTGCCCCCCAAGCCACAGCTGGGCGACCTTCCACCCAAACCCCAGCTCTCAGACTTACCTCCCAAACCACAGATGAAGGACCTTCCCCCCAAACCACAACTGGGAGACCTGCTGGCAAAATCCCAGACTGGAGATGTCTCACCCAAGGCTCAGCAACCCTCTGAGGTCACGCAGAAGTCGCACCCAGTGGATCTCTCCCCAAATGTGCAGTCCAGAGATGCCATCCAAAAGCAGGCATCTGAAGACTCCACTGACCTCACGCCTACTCTGCCAGAGACGCCCGTACCACTGCCCAGAAAAATCAATACGGTGGGTGGGCACCAGTGTTCAGGCTCTTACGAACCCTGTGCTACACTTTGAAAGCTGGCAGGAGGGAATGCACTCCAAATTACACAAGAAAAGTTAGGGGCTTGCTCACCTAACTGGCTCTACTTCCATGCTGTGGTTCCAGCATTATGGTGGAGTGGAGCCTACTGCTTAAAAACCCAGGCCTTGGACTCCAGCAGGCTTCAAGACCTGGCTTCAGAGCCTGATACAACCACACCACCTTGGCAGGCTGTTTTCTCTGAGCCTTAGTTTCCTCCCATAATATCTGAGATTATGGATGATTAAATGCAGATAAGCAGCGCTTCCTGGCACATAGACTACTGAGCAAGTGTTCACTCTTATCTAGGAACCTCGTCCTAGATAACCTTTTCCTTTCCCTAAAGTCACAAGAAAGCAGTTTGCCTCTCTGGGTTCTGAGAATCTTCCGAGTCAGTGCTTCTCACTGCATCCTCCTGGAGGAAGGGAAGGCAAAACCCAAAGAGACTTCCGCAAACATTTGTAGAAGTTTCATATTCTATCACTTTCATGAAATGCTTTCCACTGTATAAAATGTCAATTTTACTTTAATATAAAAATGATATTTCTTCAAAGTTTTTGTGGAGAAGTGATGCTCCAGGAAGATGTAATGTGCTGTACCCAGGCTGAGGAGCAAAGTTCATGTGGCCACCAAAAGCCCTCCCATGGTACATGGCAGCTCTACCCTTCTTCGTATTTTATTATAAAAGTGTTATAATAAGCCAAGTGCGGTGGCACATGCTTATAGTCCTGGCTACTTGGGAGGCCGAGGCAAGAGGATTGCTTGAGCCTAAGAGTTCAAGACCAGGCTGGGCAATACAGCGAGACCCCATTTCAAAAAAAAAAAAAAATTACAATAAAAGCGTGTCACATCAATACTAAAGGAAAGGTAAGAAAAAGAAAACTCATCCTCCTGTGGATTTGAGCTACCACGTTTAGTATGGTGGATGCTTTTAATATTTAAAAGGGAAATCTCTCACGACTCCCAAGCACCCCAACAGCCTCAGTGGCCTTTGGACATATGCAAAATTCCATTTCATGCTACACACTTTTTTTAATAGTTTTATTATTTCATATAATCCTCCCATTGTAAATTAACACAATAAAGAACAGGCACGGTGTCTCACGCCTATAATCCTAGCACTCTGGGAAGCTGAGATGGGTGGATCGTTCAAGGTCAGGAGTTCGAAATCATCCTAAGCAAGAATGAGACCCCGTCTCTACTAAAAATAGAAAGAAATTAATTGGCCAACTAAAAATATGTAGAAAAAATTAGCCGGGCATGGTGGTGCATGCCTGTAGTCCCAGTTACTCTGGAGGCTGAGACAGAAGGATCACTTGAGCCCATGAGTTTGAGGTTGCTGTGAGCTAGGCTGATGCCATGGCACTGTAGCCCAGGCAGCAGAGTGAGACTCTGTCTCAAATAGATGGACAGAAAGACAGACACACACACACACACATACACACACAGTACAGGCCTTCTCAGTTGCTCAGAGTCAGACTAAGTTGCAAATCTGCCACATCCCCGGTTCTGCCAGGCTTCTCAGAGACACCAGCACAGGCCAGAAGGGAGCTCAGAAAGGAGATTGACAGGGTGATTAAAGGAGAAACCAGGGACAGAGAGGAAAAGTCACTTGACCCAGAACATTTAAAGAGACAGCTAGGTTTTTTAATTGCCAATTATTTAATTAGTCAGATGTGAAAAAACATCCTTTAGAAGGTAATAATCTCTGTTTCCATCTTTCTGTTTGCAAAGAACTGGAAGTCCAACAGATAAAAGACCAAGTCAGAACTGGTCAAAAGTTAAAACTGTTTCGGGAACTGCATAGAATCCTCCCAACCCCGGCTGGTCCCACTGTGTTTAACCAGCATGTACTGACTTGGTATTTTGCATGAGGACTAAGAAATTTGTTTATGCTGCACATCCGATATGCAGAAGCTGCACATTTTGCGTTACATCATGTTTCCTAAAAACATTTTTAGACTCTGCTGTCATTTCTGCAAGCTGATGTTGTGGGTGTGGCGGGGACAGAGTGCTTCGTGTTTTTGGTGAAGCTGAGTTTTGATCCCTACCCATATTATTTGCTTTCTGGTGAAAATAACTCAGCGATGCCCGATCACTAATACTAATGCAGGACAGGTCTGTCCTTCATTCCTTGGGAACACACAGCACACTGGGTGCCTGGCAGACATTCTTCCCACGTTCAAGGTTAAAGAAATCAAGGCTCAGTGAGGTTAAGTCACTTGCCCAAGGTCACCTGCCTTACAAAGAATGCTGTGCTTGGCCAGGCGCGGTGGCTCACGCCTGTAATCCTAGCACTCTGGGAGGCCGAGGTGGGCGGATCGCTCTAGGTCAGGAGTTCAAAACCAGCCTGAGCAAAAGCGAGACCCCCATCTCTACTATAAATAGAAAGAAATTAATTGGCCAACTAAAAATATATAGAAAAAATTAGCCAGACATGGTGGCGCATGCCTATAGTCCCAGCTACTCAGGAGGCTGAGGCAGAATGATTTCTTTTGCCCAGAAGTTTGAGGTTGCCGTGAGCTAGGCTGACCCCACGGCACTCACTCTAGCCTGGGTACCAAAGCGAGACTCTGTCTCAAAAAAAAAAGAATGCTGTGCTTCTTTTTTCCCCTTCAGTCTATTCTTTCAGCTAAAACCCAGCTTCTTTATTTAAGGGGAAAAACAAAGTGAGGCGAGTGAAGACCATTTATGACTGCCAGGCAGACAACGATGATGAGCTCACATTCATCGAGGGAGAAGTGATTGTTGTCACAGGGGAAGAGGACCAGGAGTGGTGGGTATGTGCCTGTTTCATTCGTGCATTTGTTCCTCGCTCCCTGGGCAGGCCCTGCGCTGGGTCCTGCAGGCTCCTGCCCGCTGCGTCGCTCCCCCAGCCGTCCACCAAACGCCGTTTGCACTTGGCGTCCTCCGTCACTGACAGGAGCTACAAAAACAGCTGTGGTACTTTGAAAACGGGTCAAGAGAATTAACATTTTTATGTGCCTTTACCCCATGGTGTCATACGACAGTATTGTGAGTTTATAAGTATTTTCTAATTTTTCAGATATGAAAAACTTGGGCGTGTTGCCTGTGACCACACAGACAGTAAGCAGGCCAGGTCAGGATCTGACCTGGCTCTGATTCCAAAGCTGTGTGCTTTGCTCGCCATTCCACACCGTCCCCCGGCTAGGCGTCAGAGGCCCCAGTTCCTCTTCAGGCTCAGCAGTTTACAAGCACTCAGTCCTCAGGCTCAGTCCTGAATCTGGGCTGTAGTTCTCTGTTTGTAAAGTGGGGCCACGATACCTTTTTCGTGTGATTTTAGGAGGTTAAATGAGACTATCTGTGAAAACTCCCTTTTTCATTAAAACTTCACTGCCCCGGTGTCAGGAAGGGAAAACGTTAGTGTCCTCTGCATGGTGGCTGTTTGGAAATCAGAGGCCCCTGTAGAGACCCAGGTTATAAGGGCAGCCCACACATCTGTTGCTGTTCAGGCTGCCCAGGGAGTAAGTCTCCCCATGGGACCTGCCAGGCTGAGCTGCAGTGGACAGCCGCCCCTTACACTGTCCTCATCGTCACTTCCCAACGTCAGCAGAAAAATTCCCCTTCCCTGGCAGCCTGAGCCCCCTCCTCCCAAGAGGGACTCAGTTCTGTCTGCTGGGAAAGGACCTGTCGTTTACAGTTGGGTCAGCAGAGCCTGCTATTGCCCCAAAACACCCATGCACATAGACACGTGTACACGCGTGCATGCATGCACATGTGCACGCTCACGTTTGGCTTTTTTCCTTCAGGCCTTCAGACAGTGACTTCAGATTCTTGATCACAGCTTTAAGGGTTTTGCTTGGACTGAAGTAGTAGTTCTCAATTGGAGGCAGTTTTCTTTTCTAATTTAGGTCATTAGAAAATGTTTGCAGGTACCCAAGGCTCTCACAGGCTTATGCAGCAGACAATAAAATTGCCTTAGGCTACATCAGTCTCAACCTTTCATGATATTCTTCCCTCCACAGTAGCTAGAAAAGAAGTGATTGGTACCTAGGAGCCCTTCCCATATAATATTTTTTTCTTTTTTTAATGTATCACACAAGCCCAGGAAGAAAGGATATGTTTAGCCCCATTTTAGGCTATTAGCAAGGATTGTCTGAGGTCACCCACCCAGAAAGGCGGCTAAGCGCCATGTTTCAGCACTAGGACTCTGGAGTCTAAAGCCTGTTGTGTGACACTTTGGGCAGGCTAGTCCATGCCTCTGGGCCGCTGTCCCTTCATCTATAACATGAGGATCATAAGAAATGTCTACCTCATGGGGTTGCTGTGTAGGTGCAGTGAGATCCGTGCAGAAGTGCTGAGCATATTGTAAGTCCTGTCATTGGCTGTTTCATTACGTACTTCACGACCATTACGGTCTCTCTCATTCACTGAAAGGTGGGGAGGGGTGGGCCTGGGATTCCACCCAGGGCTGTGGGCAGACTCTGCGCTGGGCTCTCAACTACTGGGCTTGTCACAGGGCAGCTGCCTGCTGCCCCCAGCCTCACTGCTGTCTTTTCTCCTTGCAGATTGGGCACATCGAAGGACAGCCTGAAAGGAAGGGAGTCTTTCCAGTGTCCTTTGTTCACATCCTGTCCGACTAGCAAAAAGCAGAACTTTAAGATTGTCCACATCCTTCATGCAAGACTGCTGCCTCCATGTAATCCTGTGCACAATGTGTATATAGCTGCTGTTACAGAATAAGAAACTCATGGAAGGGCCACCTCAGGAGGGAATATAGTATGTATTGTAAATATCCTGTGTCTTCTGCCTTCGCCAGTATTAGGGTAGCCTTGGGACCCGGCGCGCCTTACTGGTTTGCCAAAGCCATCCTTGGCGTCTAGCACTTACATCTCTCTATCTATGCTGTTTCACAAGCAAACAAACAAAAAAGTATAGGAACTGCTGGCTTTGCAAATAGAAGTGGTCTCCAGCAACCGTTGAAAGGCATAGAATTGACTCTCTGTTCCTAACAATGCAGTATTCTCAATTGTGTTACTGAAAATGCAACATTAGCAAAGAGGTGGGTTCTGTTTTCCAGGTGAAACTTTTAGCTCCATGACAGACCAGCCTGTAGTTATCTGTGTACACAGTTTACAGCTACAAAAACCTACTTTGGTATTTATTACAGAAAAGTGCTCTGTTAAATGTAAGTGTTATTCCTTCAGCAAAATATTCACTGACCCAAAACTCTTTGTGGCATTTTACAATGCACACAGCCTCATGCAAGCTTAGACAAACAAGTGGATTTATACTGTCTTATGATGGTGAGTGCCCGCCCCTGAGATATTACCTCATTATGCAAAAATAACATATCCTTCATAACTATTTTGACAAAAGTTTAGAACACGTCTGATGAAGTTCAACGTTCAGGAACCAAGGACTGCCAGAAAATATTAGCCTCTACATTATGCATGCATTTAGAAGCTTACCTGAAATCTGCCTTTTATAAAGGAATAGTATGGATAAGTGGAACTGTACATTTTTTAAACTTGATTGCCATTAAAGCAGAAATTATAAGGTTGCAACAATATTTGTTTCTAGTTATTTGGCTTTCTCGAGAGTGTGGATTTACATATCATATCATGAATCAGCATCCCTCGAATGCGTTGAAGCATCTAATGCATCAATTTTAAATTATTTTTTTAGTTTTCTTGGATGAAGTTAAACTTTTAAAAGATTATTCAAGACGAATTTAAGTCAACCCTTCACACAGTTTCCCCACTGTAGAATCCAGGTGCTGAAACCAAGCTTTTCTTTTTCCATGCTCTTTAGTAAACCCCAATTACAGATAAATTTTTCAGTCTTAAGCTCTGTCAGTAGACACGTCACCTTCAAGTCAATTCATAACCAAGTTTTTGAACGCTGCTATGAATTGCACTGTGAAAAGCATTCTCTCCCTCTCATTTTTCTTTTCATCCCAGCCCTGTTTATCAGATCATTAAGAACATTGTGAGTATTTCAGTCTTTTACACAGTCTGAATTCTGGAAAAGAATACAATAGTTGTACTCCACAGCCAGTGGAACTGTCTGATTCCAAGACTCATGTGTCGTTCTGGCATGACATTTGCTTAAATTGCTATTTTGGCAGCAGCACAGAAAACTAATATTTTTAAGTAGAGAATCTTGGCAATGAGTGAGAAATGTTAATTTCACAGAAGCACAACTCCCAACCAAACCCTTAGGAAAAGCCCTCTTTCATAGAGTCACAGTGCTCAGTGAATATTAATTTAGTTCTGCTTAAGTGGTTACTATGAAAACGTTGAATAGCCACCTAATAAATAAACCTTGCATGACAAACCTGCAAAACATTTTATCAGCTGTTATTGGAAAGTGATTTTAAGCAATTGTTTCCTCAGTATCAGGGCACACGTGAATTCCCACACCAAACTGAGGGCATGAGGAACCAGTCCACTCCTGGCATGTGGCTGGTGGCTTTACCAGCCTCAGTATTTAAGCCACGCTGGTGTCAGAACAGAAGTTGGCGTCTGAGGTTGCTCAGTGTCCCATTTCGTTCATGTACACATTTTAAGTTGCATTAAAGAGCTATTCATTTTTGTGGCCTAGACTATTTTCAACTGATCTCAAAATAAACTGTTTTTGTTTTTTTTTTCAAAAAAAAAAACACACAAAAGCCGCATGTCTAAAATTACATGGAGTCAGTATCTATTCTTCTTCCCCTTTTGCAGCAACTTACACAAATGCATTTTTAATAACCTTTTCTCTGGTTTGTTTTGTTTTCCATCAGGAATTTGCGTTCTCTCTAATCCAGCTTACTATGGGACATAGGAAAACTAGGTAGACATACCTTTGGTGATCTTGTTGAGTTTAAATCTGATCTGGTTCTTAAACTCAGTGAGCCACTATCTGCAATTTTGTACATGATATAGTATTTTGAAGGTATTGAACCTTATGAAAAAAATAGCAAATTAGATTTTTTTTCCTACAGAGGGGAAAGTTATGTCCTGCAAATAGTGTGTGTCTTATTTTACTGTTGAACAGCAATTGCTATTTATTTTTTTATTGCCTAGAACTTCAACATGTTGTATAGGAATCCCGTAGTGCCACCAGTTAAATTCAAATTCTCATCTGGATGTTACCATCAAACATCAGTACACTTGTCATTTCACATGTATTTAATGTGACAGTTTTTCAGTACTGTATGTGTTAATTTCTACTTTTTTTAATATTTAAAATTGCTTTTAAATAAACATATTCTCAGTTGATCCCAAACATCTGAAATCAGGCCATTTTGTGAGTTGTCCACTATTCTGACTGGAGAAAAATCAAGGCTTCATTTGGCTTTGCTTTTGGGGTATAGATAACAAACCACTCTAACGCCTGTGTCAAAGCTCACTGGATTCATAAAAATGTGCGGTGCTTGCCCAGCTTACAAACTCTGGGTCTTTGGTCCCCTCCATGCCCACCTCTGCTGCACCCACTTTTGCTGCTGTGGACGTGAACTGGGCAGGAGAAAGAGGGAGGACATCTGCCTGAGTCAAGGGTGACACGTTACCACGTTGACAGGACTTAGCGCCCAGCACAGACTGAGCGCCATGTGTTTGCTTTCGTCACGTAGCTTTTGTGTCTCCTGCTGCCACGCAGTGGAGCAGCCCCCGGCCCAGGTACTACCTACACAGCCTCCCTGGGTCCTTAGCAAGCCCACGAGAGGCATGAACGGCTCGGCTTTACAGAACTTGAAAATGAGGCTCAGAGATGTTCATGCACCTGCAAGAGATCCGTGGCTTGTAAATCACTAAGGTGGGAGTCCACACACAAGGGGTTCTGTCTCCAAGGCCAGCCTCGGGATTTCCACCATGTGGAAGACAGTTGTCGCTACGGAGTTCTAGCCAGAGAGAAACACAGCAGTGGGAAGCGGACTGAGGCTACGGCATGGAAGGTTCTGAAGTGCTGGTCTCAGCGTTCCTTCTGTGTTCCTCGTGAAAGTTGGTAGATTTAATGATGCCTGTTCACGAACCAAGATGAGATGAACCCTACAAACGCTGTGCTGCCAGGGGAAATGAGCTTTGGCGTGGAAGTCACTGACTTTCTAACAGGATATTTTTGGGGCGAGACTAACAGTGATCTGGATATTCCGGGCAAAGGGGCACCGGCTTTCCATCTGGTTACAGTGTGTCATACATAGTTTTAAACCTGGAACGGTCTGTTTGGAACTAATGACTCACCCCCATTGAAAGCCCTTCCGGTGTCCACCTGCCCCGATAGCCCTGTCTCCCCCATAGTGCTTGCTCCCATCTCTCCACCCCAGTCCCTGAGCACCTTCTGCGGTCAGTCTCCTGTGAGGCGAATGGCATCACTAGCACGTTCTCAGATGGAGCAGTCAGCTCACAGAGCAGAGGAACCTGCTCAGGGTCACACGGGGAATGATGGGCCGCAGTGTGGACCCAGGTCTTTGTGGCCTCAGCAGCAGTCCCTGTCCCTCCCCATCCTGCTTTGTTCTCCCCCAGCCCTGTGCCCACTTACCCCATTTGTTTTTTAAGTCTCCCCCCCCCAGAATGTGTGTATTAGGATAATTTCACCTATTTACTTTGCACCCCCTGTCCCCCAAATGTCTTCTCTGCCCTGAATGGAAATCTCTGACTCTCCCAGTTGTGCGCTATGCAGGCGACTTGAAGGAAGTGGGCTCGTTCTCCAGCAGGCAGGCCCCAGCTGAGCGGGCGTCCACTCCCGTAGTGGTGAGCTGAACGGACACGTTTGGCTTGGCCCCTGCAGCCAGCAGCCTGGGATGACAGTGAAGTCAGCTAAACCAGTTAGCCTTACACGTAAGCATCTGAGGCTCGTCTGTGCCACACACATTCCCTTTGTGTCAAGACAGCCCCACCTTCTCTGTCCCTGAGAAGCTTGCAGGCTGGGCAGGGGACTGTGAGTAGTGATGACTGGGGCTCTCCTGGCAGAGGGCTGCCTAGAGGAAGAGAGGTCGCTCATCTTAAAGGCCTGCACAGACTGAGCTTGTGCACAGGCTGGCAGGGGAACAGGGTGGCACCCCTGACACAGCCAGAGCAGGTAGGACACAGCAGACAGGCGGGGCCAACCCCAGGTAATCTGTGCTGTGCTAAAGAGCACGGTCCCCGCACCCCATGGAGGCAGATCCCGTCACCACCGACAGCTGGCCTGTATCGAGGGTTTCACGTGGGCTGGGCGTGCCAAGGGCTCTGTCATCACGATGGCAGTGCTCTCAGCAGCACTCTGCTCTGAAGCAGGAACTGTTATTTCCCCATTTACAGATCAGGAGACTGATGCTCAGAGAGGTTAAGTTGTAACTTGCCAAAAGTGAAGGGCAGAGGCCAGAAATTTGTTCGACCCGTGTGGCTCCTGGCCTTGCCCCTGTGCTGCCTGGTGGCTGCTGCTGTGTGCCCTGCTGCCCTTCTGCAGAGAGGCTGGCTCACAGCTGGCCTGCCCCCACCCTCGACCAACAGGGCAGCCCCAGGGAAGGGTCAGCCATGAAGTGAAATGAAGTTCCCAATTCAGGGGTTCAGGCCTTAGCCACAATAGCCCCACCGTGTGCGCTTCCTAGACAGTCTCGGGGCACATGGGAGCCAGAGGTAGCACTGGCACTTGGCATCCTGGCGCATGCAGAGGGTGAGCAAGTGAGAGTTTGTCTGTCCGAGATGAGCCCTGTGTGCAAACACAGAACACATCAGCTCCTGAAAACAGGAATTAAGATAAACACAGTTACAGATAAACACAGTTGTTTTGCACAATTCTTACCACAAAGCAAGACCTAGAGTGAGGCTCAGGAGGCCAAAACTTTGACCTTCTACAAAACCACCAAGGGAGAAGCCTTGTTTGACTTCACTTTTCAACAGAATTTAAAATTTCACTTTATAGCTCCAAGCAAATTTGAGGGCAAGAGATGGGAAAGATGTCACCTGCATGCCAGCCTAAATATTAGGGCCAAGTTGTCCCATTTTGGCCAGCATCACCTGTGGTGCTCAGTGCCTGGAGATTCTCAATCATGCTAAGCCTCAGGAGAGGCCCAGGAATCTGCATTTAAACAGGTGATTTCCATGCGCCATCAGGAGACTCGGGTCACTCCTGGGCCACCTATGGTCCCTGGGAATCTACAATTGACACCAAAAGGGAGGATGGTTACCCAGGGTCCTGAACCTCCCTGCAGGGCCCCTTCTTATGACAGAGAGACCCCTCCTCATGGGCTCACACTTAGGGAACTACAGCTGTCATTTTCTTGCTATACCAAGGTGTGGTGAAAGGACACAGGAATTGGAGTTTGCAGACCTAGTCACCTTCTGCTTCAGCCACTTACCAGCAAATGTGTGCAACAGACATAGGCTAAGAAGCTGATGTGTGAACGTCCCCTTGACAACCTCAAACACATTGCGTAAGCTCTGAGCCTCAAGTTTCCTGAGATGTATCCCTTACTTGGGAGGTTGTGTGCTCAAAGGTGCAGCAGTGCTGGGTAACTTGCCTGACACTACATGCCCACCTCTGAAAAGCTAGAAGCTCATTTTCACAGGCTCAGCCATTGGCTTCCTTGGTCCTGTGTGGTGAACCGAGATGCAGGGCCTGGTGCCTTACATCACCTGCAGCGTAGCTTCTGCCCATCCCCAGGGGTGGCAGGTTGGTGGCTTGGCTTGGGCTGGCCATGACCATTTGTTACCTGGGCCCAGAGAGTCAGGATGGGGGAGGGTAATTTGGGATCAAGAAAACATGGATATTGAGCCTTAATCTCTCCAAGCCTCCGTTTCTTCCTCTGCCCAAAATGGGATAATGGTCTTAGTATCATGGAATTATTAACAGTATGTGAATTAAATGAAATAATTAATGAGGTGGTGCATGTAAAGTGGTTAGCCTAGTGCCTAATACACAGTAGCACAAAATAATAATTATTAGCACTTGCCCCTTCAAAAATGACAAGAACTCTGAACCTCCTGGTCTTCCCCAATGACAAGTGAGAAATTAGAGACATAAATCTACTTAGTGCAAGACCTGCAGTTGGGGCAAGAAATACTCAGTATTTCTTGAATGAGTGAGCACAAACCTGTCCAAAATAATTAGAAGAGCGCCCACTGTTGACAGAGGCAGGTGTTGGGGATCACCCAGCTGCTCTCCTTTCAAACTCATGGCCAGCAGCCACCCCCACCAAGGGGCAAAGTGGGGAGCCCTGATGGCGTTTGCTCTACCCACTTACACTGCACATTGCTGACTCCCACCCAGTAAGCAGCCTGCTGGACAATGGACCTCTTTTTATGGTGCATTAAGCGTGGAACAAAGATTCACAAGAATACATTGTCTGAATGTGCAAGCTTAGTTCCTGCTCAGCTGGAACCACTTAGAAAACTCAGACACCAGGACTCTGGTGGCAGGCTCCACCTCCGATTACCAGTTAACTACTTCCCTATATGAAGTTCCCTTTACGGCCCTGTCACCCTAAGTAAGCTCTAGAGATGAAGGAACAGCAAAAGCACCCATGCTTGCCCTTCCAGACTAGTTCCAGTGGCCTGGTGTCAACTTTCCCACCCAAAACCTAGGCCCAGTCCGGTCTGTGACAAAATGGAAGATGCCAGGGTGGTAACCCAGCTTGCAAGGAGAGGGAAGTTAAGGGCTTCAGGCAAGAGGCAGAGACTAGTGAAGAGTCAAAATGAAGTCAGCTAAGAATCTACCTGCTAAGACTGAATATATGCATGGCCCGTGCCCCATAGATTCCTAGATGGAAATATGTGTATGTGTTGGCTAAAAGACACGCACTAGAGTGTCCATAGCAGGCCTATTAATAATAGTAAACACGTGGCTGGGTGTGGTGGTTCACACCTGTAATCCTAGCACTCTGGGAGGCCGAGGCGGGAGGATCGCTCCAGGTCAGGAGTTTGAGACCAGCCTGACCAAGAACGAGACCCCATCTCTACTAAAAATAGATAGAAATTAGCTGGACGGACAACTAAAAATATATAGAAAAAATTAGCCGGGCATGGTGGCGCATGCCTGTAGTCCCAGCTACTCGGAAGCTGAGGCAGAAGGATTGCTTGAACCCAGGAGTTTGAGGTTGCTGTGAGCTAGGCTGATGCCACGGCACTCAAGCATGGGCAACAAAGCGAGACACTGTCTCAAAAATAATTAATTAATTAAAAAATATATACCTGTGTAGAACCTGCAAGCTACACAAATATCCCTCCACAGTCAAATATATAAATAGATATAAATTGGGGAATATTCATACAATGAATCTAGTAATGAGAATGAACACTCTACCACCA